TTTTGTTGTCGTTGTTATCGGTTGGGTATCATCATCATATCTGTCTTCTCCACGTTCACTTGAAGTCTCATCTTCACTGGCCTGCTTATTCTGTCAACTGGTTGGTTATGTCTGTAGATCTTCGAGTTTGTGCGACAAGACATTAGACATAAATCATCATCGTTGGCAAAATTCAAATCTTCTTCTGTAGTCTTTTCATTGTTCAGACAGCAAATGCCTCTGCTCTCTCTCCTCACGGTTTGCTGCATGATCCAGTCCAGTCCAGTCGACCACATTCAGGTAGATCATCGATGATAATAGGTGGCAGCCTTCACCGTCTTCACTTCACTTCAAAGGCGTCAATGAGCTTTCCCATGGGAATCACTTGGTATATGGCGTCTTCATATAGCTGTTGAATGAGGTTGATAAGGGTTGTGTTTATCCGTAGTGCTGAAGTAAGTGCCAAATTATTTCTCAGTTGACGCTGTCGAAGGCCCCTTCAAAGTCGATGAAGTTGAGGCTGAGGGTTGACTGCTATCCTTTTCCTATGATAATGCATAGCGTAGTGTTGCAATTTGATCCGCACATGACTTGTTTATCCTGAAGCCAGCTCTTGAAAAAAAGTAGTCTGTTTCCATTGTGAAACTGCAAATAGTACATTTTGTCTCATTTAGGCCTTTACGGTAACTAACAAATAGAACAGTCGTGGATTCAAATTTTCTGACAATCTTTTTAGTGTATCTGCTTGTATAACTGTTAAGATAAGCGACTTTCTTAGTAAGAACCCACAAACTACTACTGTTTTGTTCAATTTGCACAATGTTTGGGAACGTTATTTTTCACCAGCCTCTTTTAATGAAATTAGTCCCTTAGAGTTCTTTTTAATCTTGTGGTACAAAAAAGACGTCATGCATCCTAAGTAACAGCAGAGCGAAAGCAATTTCTCCGGATATTGTTTTACATAATTTAAACTTGACTTTGGCTGTCTCAACTTGCTGAAGTTGTGTAAGGAACCCACTCTACATGTCTTCACTACTTTTTACCCTAATTAACCCTACTAATTGAATCGTAGCATTATCAATCTATCTTGTTAGGAAAAATCGCATGTCTACAGCTTACTTTGTCTATCTTTCTATGCTGAAATCTTGAAAATTTGAGCAGTTTGTAATTACTGACCTAAATGTTTATTCAATGTCATCGAATGGTTTATGAATCGCCGAAAAACCTTAATAATATTCGAAGTGCTTAAGTTTTATTTCAAGGCTTATTTGGGAATAACTTGGTGGTCTCAGGAAAGTATATTCTGAGTTCATAGTTTGGAGGTTATTCGAGAACAAAGTAACTTCATTTGTTTTACTCTGATGACTCAGAGTTATTATCATGCAGTAATCTTGGTCGAAGTGAAACTGCGCTAATTTTAAATTATGATACATGACGATGCAAAAATTCATTAGTTCCTGACCTACTAATGATTTGTAAGATAAATTGTGCCTAAAACTAAGTTGTGGTTCACTTATACACTAAAAGTAATCACTCACGGAGATATATGAAGAATTTTACCAATTTTACAAAGGAGGGGAGACGGTTAGAAGCATGTAAATGAATTTACAACATTATATAGTTCCTAAGTCTTAATCCTAAATAAACTAAAAAGATATTTTCAACCTAATTAAATAACCTTTATCAGTCATACTTATTTTTAAAAATGTGAGATATATTCCTGAAACTCAATGGTGATTGAAGGTGAAATGAGACTTATGATGGAGGTGGGACTCGAACAGCAGACCACCGGGTTTCCAGCCTTGTGCTCTACCAATAGAGCTACGAGGTCCAACTATTGGCCAGATTTTTACTTTACTTCAGATTGTCAAAGTGATAATCAACATGATGCTCTTCCTGTCTAACTCAAGTAGATTTTAATCAGGACAAGAAGTCTTGACTGGGCAGTTAATGTGAATACCTTCAAGTGGTAGTAATGCTCCATGAATTTCCATGACAGTTGGATAAAACTCCTAGTGGTTGGAGTAAAATAAAATTCTGGTCAGTATAAGAACCTTGTAGCTCTGTTGGTAAAGGAACGGCCCGCGAACCCAGGGTACGCTGGTCCGAATCCCACCGTGACCCGTATTTTCGTTTCACCTTCATTCATAACTCAGTATCAATACTAATCTGCCAAACCACATCAATCTCAGATAGTCAAAGTGCTAAAAATATTATCCTCATTTTCTTATTCAAGCCTTCAATAGAGTGCCACGCATATCGTGCAGGTAATAATTACCTTTGAACTAAGTGAGGTAACATTAAAACAGATTGAATTTTCCTTAGGAAACATTTGTCTTTCTCGAATTTCATCAACAAATAATGTTTGGAAAGAAATTCTTTAACCTTTAAGAGATTTTTTGCGAGCATTTCATTTGATATTAGTCGTTAGGATTAGATGTTTTTGAAATATCTATGTAAAATGTCTCTTATATTTCTACTTACAATTATTTTGAAGAAAACAAAGTGTAACCTGGTGCACTAATTTTGTCCCAATGTCTGAAAAGGATGAACTGAAGTATACAAAACACCTTGATGATAAAAGGCAATTGGTGATTCTACGGCTGAAACAAATTATATGATTACTGAAGAGAGATTTTGTGCCATAGGGCTATACAACCATTCAAATACTAAACTACCTTTCATGTAATACTCATGAAAACAGTTATCCTAATTATTGGATGAAAGGTACTTCGGGATCACAGCGCGCATGAAGCTACATGGTACAACATCTCTTGCAACGGTTGAAATGTATATTTCCTTATATATATATATATATATATATATATATATATATATATATATATATATATATATATATATATATATATATATATATATATTCCTAGCAGTGCAACTTGACAGTTTTCATAAATGAAGCTGTGCTGAAGACTTCTGATGTGCTCTAATGTGTTTTTGAGTTGGTTTATTTTTTCATTATTCTCCAGAGTAGATAGCCTCTAACCTCTTGCAAGTTCTAACCTTTCTGTTCCCTTTTATCGATAACATGGGGGATAGTATGATATATATTTCTTTCTGAATGAATAACTGACACTTTTGTGGTGTTAGATGCATGAATTGGCTAACTGCAAGTCTTAGATCCAGGTGGCATGGTTATTGCTCATACTAAGAAAGGTGTGTTCCTGTACAGAAGTAAACTCACAACTCGCCTACTATTCAAACCTAAATTATTCAATATCGCTGTTAAAGACCTTACCACTTGACCATTCAGGACATGAATAATCTTTTGTAAGGCCAGATTGTGTCCGCTTACAAGTTGACACCTTCATTGCTGACCATTCAGTGATTCATTCAATAGCACAATCCAGTCATACAGGGAATCACTTTTGACCTAATCAACCTATCAGTAAAGTCATTAGATTTTACAATTAACGATTTAGACTATCACCATTGAAAGAATATCAAATTCCTCAGGGTCTCAATTGCAAGAAGCTGATGATTGCAACCGATCAGTAGACCTAAACCTGAGACATTTTAATGATTATTTCATATAATCCAAAATTAGAACGCAGTGCATCAAACTGCCGTGTCACTTAATTTGACATGTACATACGGTTTGATCGACAGGCTTCAATCACTGATGAGCACTGAGAGAGTGAAAGCTGAACCGGTTATTATCTAGTAACCAATTTATATAGATTGTCGTATTCAAATTGTTTCAATTATCCCAGCTTGGGTATAAAAAATAAAAAGGTATTGGAACGAAAGAAAAAGTGCCATTAATGATTTGTTTGATTTTAAAAAAATTACGAACTGAAGAAATGGAAAATGAAGTGAATTTTCAAATCGACAAAAGGTTCTAACATATAGCGAGGTCAAACAACCAAAATAAAGACCGTTCATAAATTTAAATATCAATGTTTTTTTAAATCTTTCCATAAGCAGAAATTACCATGGGACGTTCGGGATATTAATTTGAACCATTTGGTATTACAACCTACTAAATCATTTCAGTAGAACCCACAGAAGACGTAATTTGCCAAAGCAAACATGTAATTGCCTGATAAAATGAACACTTTTAGTGACCATATCAGTCAATATCGAGTATTCAATATGTCTTACCATGTTAATAATGATTAGAGTGAGTAAACGAATTTCTGTTGCTTCTATCAGTAACGTTTTCAACATAGCCAGAAAAATACCAGACTTTGAAGTGAAATTTACTTCATACTCTGTTGGCTGTGTAAAGAACACCACAAGAGTTTTTGCCAGTGGAAACTGTAGAACACTTATCAAGATTGTTATTTCACCATTACTCTACATCGTTCTGTGAAACACCACGGTGACAGGAAATTTACATCTTTTGCGATTTCAGATGCGTTTTATGGGCTTAGATAGCATAAAGTACCACTAGTATTCACACCCTATGATATCAATGCATTATCAACTAATAACAATATTTAAAGGGATAATTTGAGGATAATCTAAAGACAGAATGATTTATATGTGTATGAATCTGACAATCCGCGAGACATTCAATGCATTTCTGTATTTATGGTGCTTATTTCCAGAACAAAGCAAGATACATTCTCATACAACTCTCGTGCCCTTCATATATAGTTTTGTTTACACAACTTTACTTGTTGTTTTCTACAAATAGTTACTCAGTGATCAGTTAAAAGATTTTAATAGAAAGGTTGGTCAATGGTACTTCATGCTTTTTGAAGTAATTCATAAAGTACAAGATTTCAATCAACAGATATATGTTACAGTCACTCTTCTCGAATGATGAATTACCAATGCATAGACACATAAGTCTATTATATACCCAACTTCTGATAAGAAATGTGACATAATTTTGTAGGTACATTAGGTAACTGACCAATAAGGTGCTATGATTCCCACAACAACCATATTCAAATTACGAATCAAAAAAATGAAACCTAGTTCACAAGCATGTATCACCAGTGGACATACACACATGCACTTAAAACGGAAAATATTGTAGACTATGTACAGACATCAGAGGGTAGGAGAATGAAAAAAACTGAAGCTAGCCTTACCTAATATTATAAATTTGCAAAAGAATCACAAAATAATTTACTTCTTAATCATCAGCTCTAACATCAAATGATGACAACTAGTACTAACACTGAATTCACATTAGCGTAAACATTTCAGTAACATGCACCTTCTAATAACTGTAGTGGACAGAAGATTTCCAGGGAATACGATGTCATTATTCACGTGTAATTATTGAAGAGTTACTTTCAAAGCACAGAAGTTATAATTATTCTACTTCAGCATGTCAGATAATTTCAACATTACTACTGGTAATACAAACAGTATCAACAGCAGCAGTAGCAAGAATGAAATGAAATCTGCAAAAGTAATGCATACCACTGCATCCATAGATGAATTAATTCATGGATTATATTACATTACAATGGAAATATCACCTACATGCCGTCAAGCTGCGACATTGTTTTTGTCGGGTTTTTTTGTTGTCGGTGTTCTTTGTAAGTTTTCTGTTGATGAATGTTGATAACATTAAATTCCGTTCAAATGGTTCCTTTAGCACACATCTTATTTTGAGTACATAATGACATTTGAAAAAAAGCGTGAACTCATTGATAAATTTACAATTTATACCATACCCAACGTTTTTTATTTTGTAACCGAAAGCCTAAAGAAAGCTACAGTGTTTCAAATGGTTAAACCAAATCACAGTTCAGTTGAAGGAATGACGACTGATCATAGGATGATTTTGATATCTTAGTTTTAAATAACCAAGTAGAAAAAACCATTTTAGATAGCCTAATTACTGGACTTAGATTACAACAGTGATAGAGAGTCCAAACCCCTCTAAGATATTTTCATAGGGGTACGATTTATTCAAAAATGTAATCTGATAAACATATAAATATTTTTTTCGAAAAGCGCTTCGTGTTTTATCACATTTAAAGGCCCTTAAAATGTTTTTATAAGAGTCTGACTTCAACTAATTGTGGTTTTTATCATCTACTGACTACAGTTAATAAACCAGGAAAAATTCTTTTGCATTAAGCGATGACTGTTACATGTCGTGCATTGATACAGGTGGCAAAATGTGAAACTATTCTCTCCCAAGTAGTGGATGGATGATATCTTACTTACCATGACAACTATCAAAAACATGATCCCCCACAACATCTTGGGTGGATATTGCTGAGATGTCCAACAATAAGACAAAACGGCTGTTCCAGGTTTTCATTGTTTCTCCCGATGGAAACTTTAAAGGAAAAATACTTAGAATTCTGATTCTGAACAGAAATAAACTAACAAAATCTTGTTATGTTACTCAGTGGTAACACCTCTGGTTCTGGTACTGGTTGACGCGGTTCGAGATACTACACGGAATATCAGTTACCTCTAGAAGACCGATGTCTAGTACGACGCTTAGGCTCATAGTTCTTTACCAGCTGACTCCAACCAGCAAACAAACATATTTCTCATCATTGATGAAGTCATCAGAAAAAAGCAGTTGTGATTAGATTGTAATTCAGTTTGGTCGGTCTCCCTTGGACCGATCGAAATCGCAATGTTAATTTATGTGACTGAAATAAATGCCAACAACAACATATATACGAATCACGTCAGTAAGACTTCTGTTTTTTCAGGCCCTTTCTTCGCCCTGTGAGGACTAGAAATGAACACCTGAGAAAACACCACAATCATCGCTCATCCAACATATCCTGTTACTAAAAGTATGACGTTATTTAAGTCAACCATTTTCAAAATTTCAGGTGTTATAGTAACTTTTGAAAACATCATGGTTTTCAATCTTTGTATCAGATTTTGTATATTTTCGTGTTATTCCGTTTTCAGTATTTCATTATTAAAGTAGATTTCAGCTCAAAATAAATTGGATAATCTCATGATCTAATGCTCCACAGACTGACATCATTTGAAGAGTCATAAAAAACCTGGAATAGCTGTCCTCTTCAATTATGGGACTCCTCAGCTGTACATATTCATGACCTCAACAAAAGTCATTCCCAGTCAATCCCCAGTAACCTCAAAATCAAAAGACTAATCACTGTTTGTTACCAATATGCTTCGACATGGATTTACCTTAGTTACAACCATAACTTGTGAGTTAAACTAAGCTGGACGTGAGAAAAAACACTTAGCGATGGCCCCGGATGATGATCGTGCTCTAATGCGGCTTGATAGAAGTAGAAGCATATAGACTATTGGAATCCGACCTAGTGGTCAAATGGCTAACGTGCTTACGGTGAGACCTGAAGGTCCTTGGTTCAATCCATGGTGGCGTCATGAGTACTCACTGCCGAGCAGTCTTATACTAGACGAAGTCGCTGCTAAAGGCTCCTAGATTTTCAATAGTTTACCAAGTGATGTCAATCCGTGATGAACAACACCAAAAAGTCAACCAGTTCACACAAGCAAACTGAAAAAGGTGACAATCATTATAATCTACAGAAATTATTTTATTCCTGATTTCGAATAAAAACTGAGCATGTTTTTTCGAAAGTAGTATAACGTCTTCAGTACTGAATACATAAATGTACATAAACACGCAAGAGCCTGAAGTTTAGTTGGAGAGTTTTACTTTTATTTGTCGATGAATCCGTAGTTACTCGAAAGCATGAGTTCAGTTCGTAATACTACAAAAATACACTTTATAATTAGTCCACTCTCGCTAATTATTTTCAACAGACTACTGTTATGTCTCATAATATTCAGTTACTTGTGGTTGATATTCTTTCAGTATATTGTTCTTTACTTCTGGTAGTACACGAAATTAGAGAAAGGCTGAAATTCTCTATCTGTGTTTTGCATATTGTAACGTCTATTTGAAAAAGGACGAATCTCCGTGTTATTCCAGAACGAGAGTGTCTCTTTGGATTCACTTTTCGTCCTCAACCAGTGAACACCAACGTGGCCGATAGTTATTGGCTATCATCTGATGATAGATATGGCATCCAGTTATTAAAATATGTAGTGTTTACTAGAACCTATTTCTAACTTAAGTTTTACAAGGTTATTTATAAGTCTATCAATAACATGTTTCTTGCCATGTTACCGTGACAATAAAAAAAGAAATTTCTCGTTATTAGTGTCATCACTATGCATTAGTGTATTGTGATTTAATCGTTGCCCTCATACTGAAATTGGAAACCACAATGCGACAATTTGTCCCAACAATTCATCGCTTGCAGTATCCCATTCAAAGTTTCGTTTAAGTGCAACTAATGATTTTTGACTACAATCTTAAGCCTGTGAATAAATATTCTGGACAAATAACATAAATAAGTATCAGTCGTTAGGCTTCCTTTAAAAGGGACTGATCAACGTTATAGCCATAAAAAAAGAATGGAACTCCAGAAATACCACAATATTTGCCCCAGCGTTCTTTATTTGATATTTACATGGTAACATTTGTTCATCACTAACTGTATATTCTGTATATTGACTAGGCAACTTCTTAGTGCAACTATCTATCAATTTACCGATTATGAATTTGGCTTTACAGCTTGATAAAGAAGTCGTTGAAAAGAAATATTTCTTCTTGGATATATATGTCTCTTTCTTATTTATAAATAAATAGGTATATTGCATACGTCAAAGGATTCCAGAATGGAATAAGATCATTTTCCAGTTGACAAGCAGTCATAGTTCCTATTGAGATTAAGCCAATACATTACTGGTGAGTAGTAATAGGTGGAGGACTCCTATCTAATTCACCCAAATTGGTGAATTGATCAAAGTGTCAAGGTCTTCTTCTAAATCTATTCATACTAGAAATTGTCTTGTAGCATAGCATGTTGCACAACTAATTTATTTTATGGGTATATTTCCTTGTTCACAAACTATTTAGTTTTACTTTCAATGTTTGAAAAATTACTGTACATCAAGAAATATGTTTCTTTCTTCATCAAACATTCCATCTTTAATTTTTTATATTTTAGTATGACAGCAACCAATTAATATTTTAGCAGTCTAATGTTTTTCATGTATCCTAGTAGATGGCTCTTTGATATTCTAAGCTGCAATTTTTATCTTAATGGTCTCTCTCATTTCAAAATGCATAGATAAGTACACAGCTACCGAGATAGTCATAAAAAGCAATGAAATGACATTTATCTCTTCACATCGTGTAATCTTTATGTTAACACTCATGCAATATGACAATAAATTATGTTATTTGTATGATATTAGGTTGTTTCGTGCAAGGATAGTGTAACCAGATCAATAGTATGGATCATGAAACTGATACCTACAATTTATTTTAGTATACTCAAGAGGGATTGCGAATAGTGACGAATGTATCAAAGCATGAGTAAACCTGCATCACTTGTCAGTGAGTATAGACATCAATAATCGACATTTAATGAGCAAAAACTATTAATCTGCAAATTAAAGTCTGTCAGAGCTAACAGATCACCCTGTGACGATTATCAGAATGCCTAACACAGAAGTCTACCACCCTAAACTGATTTGCCATGTATTAAAAAACCTTTAAAATATAAATGTGGTAGTTAAGGCACTAAAATTCTTTGTGAGTAAGGTGCTGTATAGTTTTACTGGTGCGTGTTGCCCAACAGGTGCGTCAACTTGTCAAAAATATAGTTGTGACTGAAATTCAGGTAATTATTCTTTGAATGTGGTAAATAGTAAAAGTGATAGTTTTGTAACAACATATATTATATATATATATGTATATATTGTAAATCAGTATTCACAAAATGCCTGTCAAAAACAATTTGCTAGACTAAAAGTGCACTTCCGCTTTATTTAATAATAAATAACCTTAGATATAAGGGGAAATTTCAGAAATATGCGTTGGCAAACGATGTCATAGCAGATGTTTTTGTCTGTATATATATATATATATATATGTACACATGAATTCAGGTGTTTTCTCTTCTTTACGTACTTCAATAAAACTCGTCTTCAATTGTCCTTTGGTCAACAACTTTTGCTTCCAAAAAGCTTGAAAGGATATCATTTTGAATGAGTTATTTTAGGACAGACTTATACGGGGATGGGCCATAAAAAGAATGATAAGTGATCAACACCGTACTTGTCCAGTGATCTCTTTAGAAGTCTATAACTGATTTGAATAGTGACTACCGCAAAGGTTGTTGTTAAACGCTGCTCTGACTTTAGGATAACTTTATGATTATTGATTTGACCTGGTTTAATCCAGGTCTATAACTTAATAACTAGGATTAAGTTATGCTAACTTGAACTTGGATAACTACTTCAATGCTAGCCATATTTCTTTTTCCACCTTTACTCTGTTTGGTTGAAATTTTGGATTTGCACGACAACACGTATGATAATCTAAATAGGATTAAACGAAGTAGAATTCACTTAATTTACGTTGGTCATTTATTATTAGTGCAGATTCAGGGGTACTTATATATATATACATATATATATATATATATATATATATATATATATATATGGTTATCCTTTGCAGCTCAGTTGTTTTTATAGCATATTTAGT